GCCGAGGGTTTTATTTTTAGGGAGCTTCTAGATTTGCTTGGTGTGCAAGCCAAGCAATAGTTATTTGGTAGGTTTAGGATTTTATTGCTTTCTAGACTTAGGTTTTAATATTTAATTGTTTTATTAGTTTCCTAGTAAGAATAGATCTAGAGATAGTTGGTATCTATAAATACCCCATGTACCTCATCATATTTTACATGTTGAATGAAGTATTGAATTGGTGAGCCAATCTTGAGGGGGAACTTTATGTTCTTAACGTGTGATAAAGAAGGCCATTAGTGCGTCTTTACATACAGTGTCGGAGAGAAGGCCAATAGTGCGTCTTAAAGTCACGGTATCTAGAAGAAGGCCCTGAGTGCGTCTGCTAGATACACCTATCGGGGATAAACGAAGGCCGCAGTGCGTCGTTTATTTGCAACCCAAGTATAAACAAAAGATCGATCCGTCATCATTGGTTCTTTCATTGAGAGGTGCTGATCGATATTTTGTCTATCTTATCTTTTAATTTTTTTCGGTTTGCCTTTTGCTGAGGGGCAAAATTTCTCTTTATTTTTTGTTGGGGTTCGAATTTTTGTTCGAATTTTCCCTTTTTATTTTAGAATTTGAGTCAAAAAAAAAAAGTGTCATCTTGTTAGTCCTTTGTTTGATTTTTTTTTTCGGTTATTACCTTTTGTTGAGAGGCCGAATTTCTTTTTTGTTTCGAATTTTTGAGTCTTGTTGGGGGTTCGAATTTTTCGAATTTTTTCCTATTAATTTTCGTTTTTTAGAGTCAAAAAAAAAAAAAATCATGATGTTTCCATTGGATGAGTTAGATCTGGAAGATCTGGAGTATCTCGAAGGATTGGAAAGGGAATTAACCGCATGGGAGCAAGAATTTTTGGAGGAACTTCACGAACGTAGAGATTGGGAGGATCATGAAACACAACTCATGAAAGCCCGAGAAGCAATGGAGATCGATGCTAATGGCCATGAGGATGAAGGAGAGCTGAATTTTCTAATCCTTGAGGACAAGGAAAGTCTCGAAGAGGAGGGGAATGATACGGAAGTGGTCATCAACCCCGGTGAGTCCGACAATGATGATGGCGATGGTCTTGATATTTGGTTGGAAAATATGTTGGAGGCGCCATCTAGTCCTGTTTACCGGCCATCATGTGTACAAGATTGGCCAAAAGGTTGTGGGCCAAAGCTGAAGTCGATGGTAAGGAAACGGACGACCAAGAGACAATGCAAAGCACGGGCCCGAAAAGCAAATCAGTGTAGGTGCGAACCTTGTGCAAAGAAAAGACAAGCTCAAAGGAAGGAGGCTAAAAGGCGTGGCTTGCGATGGGAAAAGAATGGTTGGTGGATACCGGCGGATGATTGTGTGAGATTAAAGGGTTGGGATCCATGGCCCGAGCCGACGGGAACGAGTGGTAACAAGGACGACAATGATCGGCTAATGGGCGAGTGGCGCGCATCGGCCCATGATGCGCGCAGTTGGACGGCCAATGATGATGCACCGGCAACGGACGAACGGGCCACGGGAGTTGGCGATGACGAGCGGGCGTCGGGCAGCGAGGACGCGACGCACGCTGGGTGTGCGATAGGTGGCCAGGCCATGGGGACGGCTGGGACGTGCAGTAACGGGGACGGTGCGCGGGGATACATCGTAGGCGATGGGGGCCTGGGCGTTAGCACGGACGCGCGCGAAGAAGCGGGCAGGGACGAGGCGCGCGATAGGCGCGCGAGTATGGGCTACGCGGGTGGAGTCCTAAGCTGCGAAGGATTAGGCGGCGCGGATGATGCGCTGGCTGGAGCGGACGATCGAGTCCTAGCAGGCGTAGGAGTGCTGGGGGGTGACGGGCACGCACGCGGGACGGACGACACGAGCGAAACGCGCGCAATGGCGTGCGCGTGTGAGGGGCGCGCGCGAAGCCTAAGCGCCAAAGGACTAGGAGAGCTCGAGGGGCGGCGCACGGATGACGCGTGCGACGCGATGTGCGAGGGGCGGTCATGAGGCGGCCGAGGGTTTTATTTTTAGGGAGCTTCTAGATTTGCTTGGTGTGCAAGCCAAGCAATAGTTATTTTGTAGGTTTAGGATTTTATTGCTTTCTAGACTTAGGATTTAATATTTAATTGTTTTATTAGTTTCCTAGTAAGAATAGATCTAGAGATAGTTGGTATCTATAAATACCCCATGTACCTCATCATATTTTACATGTTGAATGAAGTATTGAATTGGTGAGCCAATCTTGAGGGGGAACTTTATGTTCTTAACGTGTGATAAAGAAGGCCATTAGTGCGTCTTTACATACAGTGTCGGAGAGAAGGCCAATAGTGCGTCTTGAAGTCCCGGTATCTAGAAGAAGGCCCTGAGTGCGTCTGCTAGATACACCTATCGGGGATAAACGAAGGCCGCAGTGCGTCGTTTATTCGCAACCCAAGTATAGACAAAAGATCGATCTGTCATCACAGCGCCCCAGCGCGCACGCCCGCATGATACGGAAGTGGAGGTTAGCACCTGCGGGGCTAGGGAAGTTGGGGAGCTAATATGCGAAAAATGGCGTATCGGGCCTTGATGCGCATAATTGGGCGATTAGCGGCACGCGCAGGGCAACGAGAGAGGGACGTGCGGGGCGCGCATCGCGCGCGAATGGGACACACGCGGGCAATGGCCTAGTCTGCGAGGGCATATGAGTGGTAGGCGCGCGACGGCACGCGCGCAAGGCAGCTTTGATGATGGATCGTGTTGTTATCTATTTCTGGGTTGTGAATAAACGTGCACTAGGGCCTTCGTTTATCCACGATAGGTGTATCTAACAGACGCACTATCGGCCTTCTCCTAGACACTGTGACTTCAAGACGCTCTAACGGCCGTCCCTCCGACACTGTATGTAAACACGCACTAACGGCCTTGTTTAAACACACGTAAGAACATAAGTTCCCCTCTTAATTGGCTCACCAATTCAATACTCAATTCAAGACATTCAAGACATAAAATTATGATGAGGTACATGGGGTATTTATAGATGCCAACTACCTCTAATGCTAATCTTAATAGGAAACTAATAAAACAATTAAATATTAAATCCTAAGGCAAGTAAATATCCTACTACCAAAAAATCCTAAATCTACTAGATCTCCTAATGTCTTGACTTGCACTCCAAGTAGGGAAGAATAATCTAGAGAAGATTCAGCTCAAAAAGGTCTCCCACACTTGGTTTCTTGCTAGGTAAGTCATGCCCCGCGCGCTGCCCCTGCTGGTCTGCTGCCCGCGTGATACGGAAGTGGAGTTAGGGACCGGCGAGTCTAGTAAGGAGCTAAAATGCGAAAGGTACGCATCGTCCCTTGATGCGCACAAATGGGCAAAAAAGCCGTGCACGCGGGGTTTGCAAGGAGTACGCGGGCGCATGGTTGGCGGGTGCACAGGTGCACGCGGGTACGCTGTAGGTGATTGGGGCGCGGGCGGTAGCTGGGATGCGCGGGGGTCACGCAGGGAACGGATGGGGCGCGAAGGGCGCGCAAGTAAGCGGCACGCGGGCGCGCGTGATGACGGATCGGGTGTTGCATTCCCTCGACTTGTCTCGATCACGGCTTCGCCACGGCCTTGCTCTCGACGATAGGTGTGATCGACTCGGTTATTAGCCTAACTCTCTCACGATACTTGAGTTCACTCGGGTATTAGCCTCGCTACACTCTCGAAATAGATCGGGTCTTAGCCTCTCTAAATCGTTGAACTGGCTTGGGTCTTAGCCTTACCAATTCGGTTGCATGATCGAATTCTCACGAACCCTAACACACGGTTTGAACAAACGTTTCTTTTCTATTTTATCAATTCGTGACATCAAAAACAATGAGGGATGACCCCTATTTATAGATCCTAACTATGACTAATTCTAATCTACCTAGGAAACATATTAAAGCAATAAAATATTAAATTCCTAAACATTCTAGATATTATTGTGCAAGAAGGAAACTAAATATACTAGAGTCCTAAATTGACTAGATCTTGATCTTGCTTGGCTTGCACTCCAAACAATTCCAAACACACGCCCAAGTACTCGGCTGCCTTCTATTTCGCGCACCGCCTCATCACGTTGCCTATTCCTCGTCGCGCGCGGCTTCGCGCGTGCGCCTCGCACGCGTCACATCATGCCTCAGCTTCTCCTAGTCCCGCGCGGACTAGGCCTTGTCCGTCCACGCACGCGTCGTCCCTCGCGCACTCCTACTGGTGGCCGACTCCTCCCCGCGCGTGTATCCCATCGCTCGGCACTCCTAAGCCTGCAAGGTTTAGGCCTTGCGCATGTGCGCCCCACTCGCGCGCTCTCGTCCGCGCGCCCTCGCTGTCGGCCTGTTCGCGCCCGTCCTCGCCACTTGCGCGGTTGCTGCCCACGCTCGATGCCCCTGCATCCTTCTTGCGCTCGCCTGCCCGCTCGCGCGTACCATCGACGCCCGTTTCTCGATCGCCTATCGCGCACCCTCGTGCACCCGCGGTTCCACGCGTCTCGCCGACCCCCGCAGCTTGCCCACCTCCCGCGCATGATCGCGCGTCACTTGCGTCCAACATCTCGGTGCCGCTTCTACGTTCAACGCCTGGACCCTTCGACCTCTTGCGCGCATCACCGCACGATGCGCGCCATACGCCCGATAACCGTTCTTCATCGATCCCTTTGTCCCCCAAGTCCATTGGTTCTCCCGAAGGCCATCGATCCCAACCATCCAACCCAATGCAATCTCCTGCACGCCAAATCCAGCCATCTTCCGTTCCTAGCCTTCCTCGTCATTGAAACTCTGTATGCCACGTCCGTTTCTTCCTAGTGCACGGCCCACAACATTGGCTCGCCTTTTGCGCCTTTGTTTTGCGTCGTCTTTTTGCCCGGCGCTTCCTAATCTTCAACTTGGCCTGTGGACCACACCCTTTTGGCCAGTCTCTCTTGCATGATGGTCGGTATATTGGGCTTGTCGGCTCCTCCAGCATGTTTTCCAGCCATATGTCGAGACCATCGTCCTCTTTCTCGTCGGACTCGCCTGGGTTGATGACCACTTCCGTATCATTCCCCTCCTCTTCAAGACTTTCATTGTCCTTAAGGATTAGAAAATTAAGCGCACCATCATCTTCATCGTTCTTAACTTCACCCTCTCTTGCTCCTCGCCCTTCCATGAGTTGTCGCTCGTACTCTTCTCGATTTCTTCGTTCATGGAGCTCGTCTAGATATGTGCTCTTCCATGGGGTATGTTCTGTAACACCCCAGACTAAAATTATATTAGTAGCTCGACTTATTTATCGAAATTAGTATTATTTTAATTATGCAGAGAATTATTAATATAAATTGCATATTTATTTATTTTAAAGCCCAAGTAGTATTTTAAATAATCGAGCCTAGTAGCAATTAAATATCCGAGCCCAAGTCGTTAAAATCGAGCCCAATCTATTAGGCCCGATTTTTAAGCCCAAATTCTACAAAGCCCTAGTATTCTACTACTCCTATAAATAGATGTCTCCTTGTCCCCCAACAATCCTGCACAAAACCCTAGCCCCCCAAGCTACTATTCATCTTCTCCCACATTTTTCAAGATCCAAACACCAAAGCTTTCCTCCTTATCCAACCATGGCTTGAAGATCCGACCACCACTTACCAAGAATCCGGCAACCAGCTCCCAGCTCCGGCGTCAAGCTTTCCGCCGTCGTTTGTCATCTTCCCCGAGCTCATCCCGTCACCACCATCTCCGGCGACTCCCAGCCGCGGCCGCAGCTCAAGACCCGACCAAACCCGCTGCTGCAGCAACTCCGGCTTCTCCACGCCTCACCGGAGACCTCAACCCGCCTTCCTCAGCTCACCACCATTTTCACGCCGGCGACCCGCACCAAGTGCATCCACCACGAGCTCAGCCCGTCCTTAGTCCGAGCTCAACCGCGTTGCTCCCGTTCAGATCGTGCATCACGTCCTCAAGCTCGCACCTGCCCTCAGTTCGCGCCCCCGTACAGATCCGCAACCACCCGAGCTCCCCGGCGACCAGCAGCTCAGCCCCGAACCAGAACCAAGCTCCTTCACGCGACCAGCGACTGAGCAGTCCAGACCCGGTTCCAACCCGACCTCAGACCCGGCCGCTCCGACCCACCAGCTCCTCAGATCCACCTCAAACCCGACCCAGCAGTCCAGATCCGTGAGAACCGACCCGGTTGCTGCCCACAGCCCCAAAAATCCGGTCCAAGCAGCCCCTAGCTGGACCGGTCCGATCCGATCCGACCGAATTCTTGCTCCATTTTTCTTCCATTTCCCTAGCCGATCCGCTCTTTGTTCGAGCATTTGAGGTATATTGGCTAAAGCTTGAAATATATGGAATAAATTGATGATAAATACG